TTAGTTAAGCCCCTTCGTAGTTTTATTTACGGCTTCCGCGAAGACATCACTATGCAGAAGACTTGAGTTTCGCTTAGGTTGAACGTCTATGTGCACGTACGCGAGTCCGGGAAATATTAAAATTTATTTACGTATGTAAAAAAATGTCTTAACATGCTCTCACATTCAGTAAAAGAAAACTGCCTCGAGGGTAAACAGAAAGAAAAATTATTTTTCAGGGGGTTCAAATACATTTTCTAGACGTTTTAATAGTGAATGGCTTATGCATTTTTATAGTGAAGAGGGTGGTTTATTTATAATTATAACACCCTGTGTGGCGACTATCAAAACTTGGTACTATTCTCTCATAACTCAAATGTGTTTTAATAATCGTTTCACTAATGTTATGCATTTCAATGTATTCCTTGATCTATCTAGTATGTCTAATTTCATCTATTTCTTGAATGAATAATAGTCACATTCTTTATATTTACTCTCCTCAATTAAAACATCTAAACAGTGAACGTTATCTTTTACTTGTATTCTTGCATCCACAACTAATGGCTTTACTAAATTTTCTTGAGAGGTGTTTCCTTTACAAGCTTTCACTTTTCAAATGAATGTTTTAAATACTAATTCTCAATAGAACATATCTCTATGATAAAGGAATAAATGGGACGCTCCCGAACATTAGCTCGCCAGTCGCCACACAGCGCAGAAGCAGGAAACACGTGAACCGTCACCAGTACGCATCTCACATTCAAGACTCGATTTTAGAACAAACATAATGCTTATCGCATAAAAACTAAATTCAATGTAATGTTTATAAAAACTAATTTTTACTGAGGAGCACATAGCTCTGCACTTTCTAATTTCAATTATTTCTCGTGGCACACTATATTTTCGTCGGACGAGGACATCACAAAAAGAAGAGTCGAAGTCATTTACAAATAAGCTAACTGCAAACGAACGAATGGAGAAAGGAGTCTAATAGGTTCAAGGACACAACGACCACAGAACCTTCAGTTGTGTTGCCTGCACTAGCTGTCAAATCATCCCATTCTAATAAAAATCGCTCTATATTCACTATACAATTCTCCACAAAAGGAATACATCACTCTTCCAAATGTAGATTCTCTCTAGTTAAAGTTGCTACCATTTTGATTAGTACGCCTATTTCATAATCAAAGAGTGATGCGACAAATTTTCTGATCAATACCACATACGGTGTCTATATTTTTTAGAGCTGATTTTGAAGTTGTGGAGTCTATCTTTCATTTGATTTAGAACTTTTTAAAAGCAGAGATCTTGATAAGGAGTTTCTACAGTTGCACTTCGCTGAAGCTACGGTGTGACATACAGTTACAATCAACAAAAATACATTTTTAATGATTACATCACGTATACATTTTAATAAATCAAATACACATTTTAAAATAAGTTCGTTGTGTAAGTGATGACGGCATGGAAAGAAAAATTCCCTGATCAAATTTTCTAGATACATGCTCCTTTAAATTACAAGTATTTGATGCAGTTGTGTCACAGCAAATAATAGGTACATTGTCTTTAATATTCCAGTACGTTAACATATTTCAAACAGCGTTAGTGTGCTCTTTACCTGAAGAATTTCGCAGTTTTGGAAACCCGATGAGCTGCTGAATATGTCCAAATGTAACAATTGGAAGTCTTCTTTTGGGTCCCTGATATTTAATGTAGGCAACAGTTTACCATCCCAATGAATATTAATAATTTGAGATAAGTTACTCTCAAAAGCAGATTTAATTGTTTCTTAACGTTCTCTTCGCTTCTTGTGTCTGATTCTAAGAATAGAAGATTTATTAATAGAGTTATTTGGCTGTTGTGGCTAAGTGACTCAGCTGTCACCTGAAGGATCTATACAGAATCTCTTACACTCACTAAACAATTAGATTAGGAATAATGCAATTTTAGGTGCCACATCCTGCAGCATTCTATATCAAAGTACTCTCGAAAGTCTCTCCTAAAAGTTCACTAACGTTAATTTCATCTGAACATGGAAGTTTGTTATCTGCATCTTCAGATGATGAAGGAGGTACAGCAGAAGATGTAGACGCTTCGCACTGTCTTCTTCTTTCCTTTCGTATTCATGTAATGTTTTATGTCTTGCTTTCTTTATTCGCGAGATTTTGGTCTATTCCTGCGAGATAGCTTTTATGTCCCAGCCGAAGTAAAAACATCCTGTCTTCACCCAACGTAATCATTTGTAAAGCATTCGGATGTGCAATATCAAATAGATTATTCAAATTATTTCTAAGCTCCTCTTCACGATGCTTAAAAATAGCTTCACAATTGTCTGCGTTTTTTTCTTTTTTTGTAAATTTCTCCCCTGCGATTACAAGTTAATAAGTTTTTGCGGACAATACTGATAGCTCTTGTCGGAATTCTAACTTTCTCCCAAAATATCAAGCACTCATGAACCACAAGTTTAGCATTTGTACTAACTGTTTATTTTACTTTCCAAATGTTATAAAATAAAAAATATCACGCGCTTCTTTATTTGATGGTAAATTGTGTCCAGTTATTTGGTGTTTTATATTAATAATTATAATATTATCTCCTATTAAAACATACGTTCCTCGGTACTGTGTATGACACTAACATA